ATGGTGTTAAATCTGAGTAGGGTCGTGTAACCAGTGCGGTTCCCCAGGGGTCAGTACTAGGCCCACTCTTGTTCATAATCTACATAAACGATGTAGATACTGGGATCAGCAGTGACATAAGCAAGTTTGCGGATGACACCAAAATAGGGCGGCAGATTAATTCAGGGCAGGATGCAAATGCATTACAGGAGGATCTAAATAAACTGCAGGGGTGGTCTGAAAAATGGCAAATGAAATTCAACACCAGCAAGTGCAGCGTACTTAATATTGGAAGAACAAATACTGACAATATATACAGCCTTAACAACATGAACCTAGAGAAGTCGACTTGTGAAAGAGACCTAGGGGTACTTGTAAGCCCGGACCTACGGCCTAGAAAACAGTGCGTTAATGTTCGAAATAAGGCAAACAGAGTATTGGGTTTTATATCTAGAAGTGTAAGTAATAAGAGTGCAGAGGTCTTATTGCAACTATATCTTGCGATCGTCAGGCCGCACCTCGATTATGCTGTTCAGTTCTGGTGCCCTTATTATTGAATGGATATCAATTCACTAGAGTCGGTGCAGCGAAGAATGACGAAAATTATTCCGGGACTTCCTTCCATATCAGGATAGGTTAAAGAAACTTAACTTGCATTCCCTAGAAAGACGAAGAGTGCGGGGAGATTTGATAAAAGTATTCAAATGGGTGAAAGGAATCAATAAAGGGGATATAGACAAAGTTCTTATAATATCCGAGCAGGATAGGACTCGGAGCAACGGATTTAAGTTGGATAAGTTTAGGTTTAGGAGGGAGATAGGAAGAAACTGGTTCACAAAAAGGGTGGTGAACGAGTTGAACAAGCTTAGCAACTTTGTAGTTAGTGCTGGAACTCTGGAAAGTTTCAAAAGGAGGCTAGATAGATTCATGGATGATAGAGAGTGGTAGTAACTCTCGACAGGAGCTGCCATGCACAGGCCAACCGGCCTATTGCAGACTCCTTATGTTCTTATGTTACGTCACTCATTTTTTATAAGCTCTTCTTTCGTGTGCGGTGGAGGTGGTGTGGATTAGTGGATCCCATGTTATTGACCTGACCTGATGTTATGTTAGGTCACCCTTTGTATATAAGCCTCTCTCAGTCCCTGTAAATTTAGTTGCCTCTGAAGATGTTTTAAATAAAGACGAAAGCGAAGATGCTCCAGTGTTTCACTTTTCCTGTGTGTTTTTATCGAGATTTATCTTGTCCACGTTTCCATTGTATATATATATATATATATATATATATATATATATATATATATATATATATATATATATATATATATATATATATATATATATAATGATAACTTTTTCCGAATTATCAGTATATCTTGGTACTTGTTCGCAGAATGGCTTGACTTTTTTATTGACACTTCTGATGACATAGAAAGTAGTGCAAGTCACGAAGAACATAGCCAATATATAGCACTATTTATCATTAATATCCCGCAATTGTGGGCGGAGCTTTTGGACGACCACGTGGCAGAGGTGCGGAGGACAAACAAAGCACTGTTTACCGGTTAACCTCAATAATAAATTCAAATAACCACTGCTAAAATTATTATCTCGCTCATTAAATAATGTAGAACAAAATACACTAAAATATAACAGCTATCAGCATATGATATATAATTTTTTTTTATTGAGATGTCTGTCCTCTGTTCCAATGGTGCTGTGTTGCTTCCGCGTATTGCCACGACGTCTCTCATTTACTTTAAGGAACATCGGCGGCTGACAAACAGTGATATGTACCTTCCTTGTGTCTCGAGAACTGCACATTACACATTTGAGTTTTGAATTACAATGTCTTTGTTTCAATACATTCTCTATCACAAAGGATGTACAGATTTTATCTTGTGAACCAGGGTTTTCAAAATGAGTTTCGCTGTGTCACTGTTAATAATTAAACGTTATCCACTATTGGCTTTAGATGCTGTTTTTTGTTTTATTACAAACATTCTAACTCGTGAATTTTCACATTAGATATCTAAAGATTGTCTCACCAAGCCTATCGTTCTCGGTTATCGGCCAACGGCCAAGAATATGGTCATATGTTAGGAGTAAAAAATAAATCCGATTTCTTGATCTATTTTGGACCATTGTGGCTAACACTCTCAAAGTGGAAAATAGAAAACTCTCTCAATCAATACATATATATATTCCCTACAAAATAATTGGTTTAAGGTCAGAGTCATAAGGTGAAAAGTCTCTTCCCAGGTGTGGAGTGAAGAAAGGTGGAGGCCCGGTGGCTCTGGAGACGAAAACTCAAAATGTATCATAGAGTCAAGGTGAAACATAAGTGAAAAATTGGCTGGGCAGCCGAGATCTAAGCTACAGTTACCTAGACAATAATAACGTTTTGTCCACGTGTGGTTCTAGAGATGATCTCTCTATAATATACATAGTATTTTGCAGTCATGGAAAATTAAGTGTAAACGATAACCAAGTGATCCAAAATATGTCTTTTTTGTAAAATCGTTTGGCTTCACCTCATTAAAAAATTCTTACTTTTAATACCAGCAAATAAAAAAAGAGGCAAAGTATCATCTGGGTAAACTACCCATTGTTAATGAGTTATTGTACAGTACCTCCGACAGAGGGTCATGCAGTAAAGTTAATTGTCTGGAGTTTCCACAATTTCTTGACATATGCCAATAATAATAATGAAAAATCACTGCAAAAAATATTTTACATTGTGGCTACTTTACGTCTTCATCTAGAAATAACCTTTTCTTTATCTATTGAGAGTCATAAATGATCTTCATAGTCCACTGTTGAGTGCTCATGGCTTAGCCAGCCTCTGAGCCCTCTCTGTATCATCACTGACAGTGGTTTAGAATTTCTCCCCTTAGTTTTATATTTCGGTCTCTGCGAGTCATACACCTTATACATCTTTCCATGCCTAATTATATTATTTTTATTAATCTTAACATTAATCGCCATGGTTGACAGCCATGAATCAACAGTAATATACTTTACTTCTCAAACATGGGGACTTTTTTCTTATGAATAATTATGGTTGCAGATGTTTAGAGACTTTAGTTTATTTTCGTCTTTTCTTTATTTCGAATAACTTATTTTTATTACCTTTCATTATATGTCCTAAACATCTACAATACTGTAAATGAATCATTTTCAGTCAACTTCATTTTCAAACTACAGTATTTGGCTCTAAAGTTCAAGTTGGTAGTAATTACCTGAGGTTATCAGTAAGACATTGATGAATCAAGTGGAAACCATTCATAGCTGAACCAGTTTGTGTTTCATCCAATACTGCCCTTGGAATTTGAATTTAATGTGGATTCCCATTCATATTTAGGGCCCTAAGGGGTGCTGCGGCCAAGTGGACCTGCTGTCCTAAGAGTTCGCATCCAGGACACCTGAAGTCTCACAGCTGTATGTGGGTACCTACTTTTACAGTTGTTGAAGTGAAGGCGACCGAGTGCAGTGCCGGCCACAATGCCGAATTGTGTACGAAGGCTTAGTATATAGTGTGCTGCATTGGCACTGTCCCTATAGGTTACATTCTCATTAATGCAACTGTAATAGTTTTCACTTCTTTAGTTCATTAAACACTGACAACAGACATTGTACAAACTACGTCAACAGATTAAATCTACTGACAACTCGGATTCATTACATGTGAATGTGGAAATTTCCTGGACTTTTTATCCTGGACTGTTTTCCTGGGTATTTAAAATCTAGCCTTGTCTGTAGCAATTTCATTGTATTTTAGTAGAGAGAGAGAGAGAGAGAGAGAGAGAGAGAGAGAGAGAGAGAGAGAGAGAGAGAGAGAGAGATGTCATGGAAAAATAAACTTATATCGAATCGTAAAGTTATCACTCACGCTGATGAATGTGTTGCTAATAAAGAAAGTCACTTCCATGAAACAGAATTATACGTATATTGACAGAATCCTCTCTCACATTCCTATTACTGTAGTGGTTTTAAGAATATTTTTCTACTAATAATCATACTAATTTAAGACAAAAGTAGCTTTTTAAAATGATACCATTAATCTATAAATACAGCAGGGTCATGTAAGGTGGACTACAGAAAAACAATCAGTCAGCAATACTTAGACGATTCTTCAGTCATGTTAGTGTACCTGTTGCCTGAGCCCCTGGCAGTAGAGACGGTAGATAACATCTTCGCTACTTCATCACTCTCAACCTCAGGCGTCCTATCGTACCTCAGCTCAACCATCGAACGAATTCTTCACACGACGCAAAGTGAAGATTACAGTGGAGCTATACACTGTATGTGCACCATAATTTCTCTAAGTAAAGTGTAATACCTTGGCCTTCCAGTAAGGGTCAGGAGATCATAGCATCAAAGCAACTGAGTGTCCTACCCACGGGTGATTCTTCCGGGACGCCACGCAGGGCCAGGCTATTGACCCGCGCTACTTACTGAATGTAAACACCTTTGAACCATGTTGCATAAGAGAAAAACACTGCCGAGCCAAGTCATTATTATCTGTGTCAATACTACACTCTATTACACTTCACATGAGGAGTAATGAGTGATAATATATTTTAGAAAGACAGATATAGTACAACATTTACATAGCACAAGCAGAAGACGGGGTCATGTTTAGTCTGCTGTTAGCCATTTGGGAAATAAGTAATATTATCAAATGTCGTAATCAACTACACCTGTTACGAAGAGGTATTAATGATATTCTTATCATATCTAAAAGATATATTTATAAAATTCTGTTACACTCTTTGCAACAACAAAGCTATAAATTGCACACCCTATGTTTATACAAGACATAAGTCTATCTTCACCATCTTGCATTACCAACAGTAAAAGGAAACAGAATCATGATACACTTCAGTTAACTTACCTTCCATCTGCTCTCCTGCACACCAACATTTATAAAGTCCAAAATACATGAAAAAGTGTTTTGATTTACATAAAAACCCACAAATTTATGTGCAAAAAGGGGAAATTCCGCGGTACAGACATGAGTGGGGAGGAGAGAACTAGAGCGAGGTACTCACCGTGAAGGAGTCGTCACACTGCACCTTGGCCAGGGAGGGGTCGTTGTAGATCTTGAGCTCCTGTAGCGCCCCCTGCAGAAGGAATAACCACACATGTGTGAGCACCAGCAGGAGGAAGCGTCGTGAGATACGCACTAACAACATGGTTCATCACCTTACTATCGGTCTCTAAGGCTCACACTATATTGTCTTATGGTCTGACTGCTTCATGAAACTTGTGGTCACTGTATCTTAACTTCTCGTTGTTGTGATATTAAACGATGCATTTTTCTTTCTTGCACTTTTGTACAATTTAACATAACTATATAAAATCTGATGGATAATTCAGTCTGACGTCGATAGAAAATAATCAAATTTTAAAAACATATGCAATTCAAGAAACTTTTGTACTGTAAATGGGTTTATATTTTAATATAAATACAGTAATGTCAAATTATTCACTTTAATGAATTTTAACATTTTCATTTGTCATATGAACTGAGTGGGTAATGATGTAAATTATTTTCCAGGCAAGGCACGTGATTAAGGCACATGAGTAAACACGGGAGATAGGAGGGAAGAGTACCGTGCGTCTCTCTCTCTCGGACGCTAGCAGCCAACTGAGAGGGCAGAATAACAACACTGTCTGCCCTTAGTCTGGCAGTTCTGAGGTGCCAACTTGCATTATACGACAGATTCCTGGGCACGCGTCTGTGACCACAGGATTAATGATGATCACCATAGGTTGACAACTAAGGTACGACGGTAGTATTTATGCAGCCGGATTGTTAAATTGTGAAGGTGTTGCTTATCTTCACCGCGAGGTTACTCTGTTCGCGCAAGCATCAGCTGAGAACCAGACGTGCTGGTATGTGAGTGTAAATTACTGTCATGCTCAGTATCCTCAATACTCGGTCGGTACTTGCGTGTGCCAGTGTGCCACATCACTTGTCCATATATATATATATATATATATATATATATATATATATATATATATATATATATATATATATATATATATATATATATATATATATATATATATATATATATATATATATATATATATATATATATATATATATATATATATATATATATATATATATATATATATATATATATAACAAAGAAGTATGTCTGTGTGTTTGTTTGTGTGTCCGCACGAGAATCTCGGAAACTACTTTACCGATCTGTGTGATGATGGATGTTGTTATATGTAGTGATGATGGATGTTGTTATATGTAGTGATGATGGGTGGTGTAATATGTAGTGATGATGGATGGTGTTATGTGTAGTGATGATGGATGTTGTTATATGTACATAAGAACATAAGAACATAAGAAAATAAGGAGTCTGCAATAGGCCGGTTGGCCTGTGCATGGCAGCTCCTGTCGAGAGTTACTACCACTCTCTATCATCCATGAATCTATCTAGCCTCCTTTTGAAACTTTCCAGAGTTCCCGCACTTACTACAAAGTTGCTAAGCTTGTTCCACTCGTCCACCACCCTATTTGTGAACCAGTTTCTTCCTATCTCCCTCCTAAACCTAAACTTATCCAACTTGAATCCGTTGCTCCGAGTCCTATCCTGCACGGATATTATAAGAACTTTATCTATATCCCCTCTATTGATTCCTTTCACCCACTTAAATACTTCTATCATATCTCCCCGCACTCTTCGTCTTTCTAGGGAATGCAAGTTAAGTTTCTTTAACCTATCCTGATATGGAAGGTTTCTAAGTCCCTGAATCATTTTTGTCATTCTTCGCTGCACCGACTCTAGTGAATTTATATCCATTCTATAATAGGGGCACCAGAACTGAACCGCATAATCGAGGTGCGGCCTAACTAGCGCAAGATATAGTTGCAATAAGACCTCTGCACTCTTGTTACTTACACTTCTAGATATAAAACCCAATACTCTGTTTGCCTTATTTCGAACATTAACGCACTGTTTTCTAGGCCGTAGGTCCGGGCTTACAAGTACCCCTAGGTCTCTTTCACAAGTCGACTTCTCTAGGTTGATGTTGTTCAGGCTGTATACATTATAAGTATTTGTTCTTCCAATATTAAGTACGCTGCACTTGCTGGTGTTGAATTTCATTTGCCATTTTTCAGACCACCCCTGCAGTTTATTTAGATCCTCCTGTAATGCATTTGCATCCTGCCCTGAATTAATTTGCCGCCCTATTTTGGTGTCATCCGCAAACTTGCTTATGTCACTGCTGATCCCAGTATCTAAATCGTTTATGTAGATTATGAACAAGAGTGGGCCTAGTACTGACCCCTGGGGAACCCCACTGGTTACACGGCCCCACTCAGATTTAACACCATCTACGCTGACCCTCTGCGTTCTATCGGTGAGCCATGATTTTATCCAATTTAAAACTTTCCCTCGATACCATGAGCCTTAATTTTTCTCAGAAGCCTCTGATGCGGTACTCTGTCAAATGCTTTGCTAAAGTCTAAGTAAATAACATCGTAATTTTCGTCATTATCTACTACCTCGAAGACTTTCCTAAAAAACGTTAGCAGATTTGTTAGACAAGATTTTCCCTTTGTAAACCCATGTTGAGAGTCGTAGATTAATTTGCTTTTCTCTAGATGCGATCGGATGCTATCTGCTATAATTGATTCAAGAAATTTCCCCACTACTGACGTTAAACTGATCGGCCGGTAATTTGACGCTGATGCTCTGTCTCCCTTTTTAAATATGGGTACTACATTCGCCTGTTTCCACAACTCTGGCACAACTCCAGTGTCTAATGATTTTGTAAATAAATTTACGAGGGGTCCGCTAATCTGTTCCCTACACTCTTTTAAGACTCGAGGAAAAATTTCATCCGGCCCTGGGGATTTTGTGTTCTTTAGTTTATTTATCTTCTTAAGAACATCCTCTTTTCTGATAGTGATATTCTTTAATTTCTCTTCTTCCTTTCCCTTAAATATCAGTTCCAACTCCGGAATTTCATCCCAAATTTCTTCTGTGAAAACTGATAAGAAGTAGCTGTTCAATGCTTTGCTCATGTCTTCACTGCCATTTATCAATTCTCCCCTCCCTGACTTTAAAGGCCCAACTTTGTCCTTGACCTTTGTCCTATATACCTGGAAAAATCCCTTGGGATTCGCCTTGGATTCTCTTGCTATTTTGATTTCATAGTCTCTCTTTGCTTTCCTTACATTTTTCTTAACATTCCTAGATAGTTCATTATACCTGTTTCTGAGCTGCTCCTCCCCTCCCTTTAATTTCTTATATATTCCTTTCTTTATTCCTATGTCATGTTTAAGTTTTCTGGTCATCCACCTTGGCTCATTTTTATTTGACCTAATTTTTCTGTATGGTATATTTTGTTCTTGTGCTTTATGTAGTATACTGGTGAATATATTATAGTCATGATCAATTGTTGTGTCATCTATGACCTCACCACTTCCTGCTGGGAACTGACGTGACTGTTCCCAGGTGACCTCACCTAGGTACCTTCTTAACCCCTGATAATCTGCCAACCGAAAGTTTGGAACTCTGACCATATTGTCATTGTTTTTCGTTTCCCAATTTAGTGTGAACCTGATTTATCTGTGATCACTGTTACCTAGTTCTTCCCCTACTGTGATATCTCTGATAATATTTTCTTTATTTGTTAATACTAGGTCTAATATATTGTCACCTCTAGTAGGTTCTGTAATTAGTTGTTTCAAAAAATTGTCCTGTACTGCGTCTAGGAAGTCTTCAGATTCATAGTCGCCTACAATGTTGTCCCAGTGATGATGGGTGGTTTTATATGTAGTGATGATGGATGATGTTATATGCAGTGATGATGGATGGTGTTATATGTAGTGATGATGGATGATGTTATATGTAGTGATGATGGATGATGTTATATGTAGTGATGATGGGTGGTGTTATATGTCGTGATGATTAGACAATAAAATAATAACAATTTAATGCTAAAAAAATATGCTTTTTGCTGTACCGTTGTAGTGGAACTTACATACACCGTTAATGAACTATTGATGGAAGAAGAAGTTTTGGGGACTGAACAGAGAGACAATGTGGAGCCTCCCGGAGGGTGGCGTCCTACCGTGGCCTAACGAATGAGCCGCCCGGACCAAACTTGGCATGGATAGAAAGTGTCATGTGGGGATCTCAAAAAAAACTCCAAACAACCCGATCCGACCCGTTAAGCCACACAGAGGTTGAAAAGTCGGATCACATCCCACGTATTATAGGTTATTTTATCCTTATATATATATATATATATATATATATATATATATATATATATATATATATATATATATATATATATATATATATATATATATATATATATATATATATATATATATATATATATATATACTACTACACGTTCGCTATCCTCAGTAGAGGAGAAGAGCGCCAGGCGATGGAGGTTTTACAACAGTGTTGCGACCTGGAACAGACAGTGAAATAACAGTAGACAACAAATGGGTGGTTCCCTACAATCCTCTTTTGAGTAAAGCATTCAATGTGCACATCAATGTGGAGTTCTGCAATTCAGTCAAGTCCATCAAGTATGTCTGCAAATACGTCAACAAAGGCTCTGACCAAGCGATCTTTGCATTGGAAAAGGATGGAAATCGTGATGAGGTGACACACTTTCAGCAAGGCCGTTGTATATGCAGTAATGAAGCCCTATGAAAAAATTTTAATTTTCCCATACACGAACGATGTCCAACAGTAGTTCATCTGGCTGTTCACCTGGAAAATGGACAAAGAGTATACTTCACAGCAGAGTCCCTCCAAAATCAAATGGCAAATCCTGCTGATACGACCCTCACTGCATTCTTCAAGCTTTCACAGGAAGATGAGTTTGCTCAAATACTCCTGTATGTTACGTACCCAACTTCTACTTATGGCTGGCTTCAATGAAAAAGTTCCAGAGACGAGCTCAAGGATCTGATGTTGAAGGAAATCCAGGGATAAAGTCAGGCACTGCTTTGGGACGTGTCTACACGTTTCACCCCAACAACTTTGAATGCTATTGTTTGAGACTACTTTTGCACTACATCCGTGGCCCAACATCATATGTAGCATTCAAGACAGCA